TGAGCAAAATGATTACTACCTCTGTGAGAAGAGATAGGGAGGGCCGCCCTTGTAGCCATACTTGAAGATAGCCTTTGCAGTGCAGGTGGGCTGTCGGGGAGGGCCAGGTTGCTGTAAGCTGTCCACGGACACAGTCTTGGATGTTGGAACAGGGAATGGGGAATCTGATTTTCGGCCCCCATCATCCTCCCACACACCAGCTTAATACTCTTCTTCCCCAGCTTAATACTCTTATTGTAAGCTCCTTACTGCAAAGCATTAGGCTCTCAGTAGACTAGAAGTTACGTTTCTCATGCAGGATGATTGAGTAGTAACAATATGACTGTCTTAATGTCAATATGGATTTGTCTCATCTTGTCTGAAACATAATTGAACAAGCTCAGGTTCAGACAGGTCTTAGAGTCCACTGTTCATTTCTCAAGAGCAGGTTCTTACACACACACACACACACACACACACACACACACACGCACACCCTCCCTTTGTTTTTTATTCTTTCTTAAAAGTTTCCTAGCATAGAATAAATTGGCTAGGTTGCTGTGTATGTATGCAGTGTGAGGCTGCTGGTTATTAGAGGACCTCACCCAGTAATTGGAACCTACCGTGCGTGTGTGCGTGCGTGCGTGCGTGCGTGCGTGCCTGCCTGCCTTCCTGCCTGCGTGCAGCTCTGTGTGTGCTCTGTCAGTGTTGCCAGGTAGAACTGGAATTATCCGTAGCACAGTCATCACATTCCTTTTAGCAGAAAAAGATCTTCAAACCTGACTTGGTATTTTCTCTTTTTTATCCTTTTTCTTGTTGTTTTTGAAACACAGTCTCCTTCTGTCACCCAGGCTGGAGTGAAGTGGCACAATCTGAGCTCTGCAACCTCCACCTTCTGTGTTCAAGTGATTCTCCTGCCTCAGCCTCCCAAGTAGCTGGCATTATAGGTGCCCACCACCACGCCTGCCTAATTTTTGTATTTTTAGTAGAGATGGGGTTTCACCATGCTGGCCAGGCTGGTCTCAAACTCCTGACCTGAAGTGATCCACCTGCCTCGCCTCCCAAAGTGCTGGGATTACAGGCGTGAGCCACCGTGCCCTGCCAGGAGTCTTTTCATCTCACTCTGTCACCCAGGTTTGAGTGCAAATTGTGTGATCATAGCTCACAGAAGCTTTGAACTCCTAGACTCAGGTGATCCTCCCACCTCAGACTCCCAAGCGGCTGGGATTACACGTGCAAGCTTCTGCTCCCAGCAACCAGAGTCATTTTTTAAAATGCCAGTTAGAAAATTTTTACTTTTTTTTTTTTTTTTTGAGACGGAGTTTCACCCTTGTTACCCAGGCTGGAGTGCAATGGCGCGATCTCGGCTCACCGCAACCTCCGCCTCCTGGGCTCAGGCAATTCTCCTGCCTCAGCCTCCTGAGTAGCTGGGATTACAGGCACGTGCCACCATGCCCAGCTAATTTTTTGCACTTTTAGTAGAGACGGGGTTTCACCATGTTGACCAGGATGGTCTCGATCTCTTGACCTCGTGATCCACCCGCCTCGGCCTCCCAAAGTGCTGGGATTACAGGCTTGAGCCACCGCGCCCGGCTAAATTTTTACTTTTTATTTTTATTATTATTATTTCTTTAGCCAGAGTCTTACTCTGTCGCCCAGGCTGGAGTGCAGAATGGTGCGATCTCGGCTCACTGCAACCTCTGCCTCTCGGGTTCAAGCAATTCTCCTGCCTCAGCCTCCTGAGTAGCTGGGTTTACAGGCACATGCCACCAAATCCGGCTAATTTTTGTATTTTTAATAGAGATGGGGTTTTACCATGTTGGCCAGGCTGGTCTCGAACTCCTGACCTCGTGATCCGCCTGCCTCAGCCTCCCAGAGGGCTGGGATTACAGGCATGAGCCACCATGCCTAGCCGAAAGTTTTTATGTTTATTTATTTATTTACTTATTTATTCGAGATAGGGTCTTCTCTCTTGCCCAGGCTAGAGTGTAGTGGCACACTCTGGGCTCACCGCAGCCTCAACCTCCCAGGCTTAAACAGCCCTCCCACCTCAGCCTACTGAGTAGCTGCGACCCCCATGTTCTGCTAATTTTTGTATTTTTTGTAGAAACTGGGTTTCCCCAGGTTGCCCAGGCTGGTTTCAAACTCCTAAGCTCAATCCATCTGCTTGCCTCTGTCTCCCAAAGTGCTGGGATTTCAGGCGTGAGCCACCGCACCCAGACTAAAGTTTTTACTTTAAAGAAAAAAATTTTCAATACAACGGTGCCATTGGTTTTTCAAGTGGAACCTGAGTCCCTCTAGTGGGTAGGGTGCAATTCACCTTCCAAGCTTGAGATAGGTGGGAGATGTCAGTCATGATTTTCTTGGAACCAGCTTTCAGATCCAATGTCTCATCAGCGCTGGTGTCACCCTCCCCAGCTAAAAGGCAGTGCTTAGCTCACCACTGGCTTGGTCCCAGCTTCAGCATTCAGTAGTCCTCCTCTGCCCATGTGATCTTCGCGGCCCTGATCTTTCCTTGCATGGATCTCACAGCCGTGGTTCACCAGCTGCTTTATTTCAAGCCTCAGCAAATATAAACTCACACTACAACTTGATGGTTTTTATGCCATGCAGTTCTTTCCAGCAAAAAATGCAGTGCCCCAGGGCCCTCGAGTTGCCATGAAACGAGTCGTTGTGCAGGTCTGCTGTGGGGCCACAGGTACCTGAAGGACGTTCAGCAGTTGGAGGAGTTACATGCTGATAGTCAGAACAAAGGCAGTGTGTACAGCTGGAAGGAAGTCTGGCGTTCAGTCCTAACCAGCTACTGTGTGACCTTCAGCTGCGATGACAGCCTTTCTGTAGCTTAGTTTTCCCTTTTGTAAAATAGGGAGATGCCAAAACTATCTTGCTATCTTGTGGGGTTTTTATTTTTATAATTTAAAAAATGTGTGTGTGTGTGTGTGTGTGTGTTGTGTTTTGTTTTGTTTTGTTTTCTGAGACAGAGTCTTGCTCTGTCCCAGCTGGAGTACAGCGGCACAGTCTCAGCTCACTGCAACCTCCGTCTCCTGGAATCAATTGATTCTTTTGTCTTAGACTCCCAAGTAGCTGGGACTATAATCACACGCCACAAAGCCTGGCTAATTTTTATATTTTTAGTAGAGACGAAGTTTCACCATATTGGCCAGGCTGGTCTTGAACTCCTGACTTTGTGATCCGCCTGCCTTGGCCTCCCAAATTGCTGGCTAGGAATACAGGCATAAGCCACTCCTCCAGGCCTATATTTTGTTTGGTTGGTTGGTTTTTAAAAGAGACAAGGTCTCATCCTGTTTCCTGGGCCGGAGTGCTGTAGCACAATCATAGCTCACTGCTGCCTGGCAGTCTTGGGCTCAAGTGATCCTCCCTCCTCTGCTTGCAGGGTAGCTGAGACTACAGGTGTACACCATTGTGGCTGGCTAGTTATAAACATTTTTTTAGAGATGGGAGGTCTTACTACATTGCCCAGGCTGGTCTCAAACTCCTAGGCTCAAGTGATCTCCAGCCACAGACTCCCAAAGTCCTAGGATGATAGGATGACCCACCACCCCTTGCAGGCTTGTTTTAAGTGCTGGAAATAACGCATCCAAAAGCCTTTGTGTTTTCAGTGCTCTATGATTGGTGGCAGAAGATGTGGAAATTTTCTCCATCTAGGTCATTACAATGCATGAGGTTTAATTATTCAGATAACTTTCTTTCTCATGCTTCCTTTTTCTTTCAGTCACCACCAAGTAAGCGAAGAAAATTAGAGAAACCAAGGAAACCCATTACGTTTGTGGTGTTGGCGTCCGTGATGAAAGAGTTGTCCCTGAAAGCATCGTCTCTGGGCTCCGAGACGGGGGAAGGCATCGTGGTCGTCACCACGTGGATTGAAAAGATTCTCACTGATTTGAAGGTACCCAGTTAACCATACCAATGAAGTCCTCATAAGAAACACTCCCTTTTTTCTTTCTTCTTTTATTAATTGAGAGTTTGGAAAGAAGGGAAAAGCGATTTCTTATAAAACGCTCTTTTTCCTCCAAATAGGTCCAGCATAAACGAGTTCCCTGTGGAAAAGAGGAAGTTAGCCTTTTCCTAACAGCCATAGAAAACTCCTGGATTCATTTACGGAGAAAGAAAAGAGAGCGAGTGAGACAGCTGAGAGAAGTCCCTCGCGCTCCTGAGGATGTCATTCAGGCCTTGGAGGAGAAGAAATCCGCCCCCAGAGAGCCTGGCAACAGCCAGGAGAGGGCGCCGTGCAGGCCTGCTCTGCGGGAAGGCAAGCCTGCTGATGCGGAGGGCCAGGGCCTGAGCCAGGAGTCGCTGTCCCTGGAGGAAAACCCAGAACCCATGGAGGACGAAAGGAGTGAGGAGAAGGGAGAGATGGAGGTTTTGGAAAGCTGTAAAGGCTCTAGCAACGGAGCCCAGGACCAAGAGGCTTCTGAGCAGTTCAGCAACCCCATGGCCACCAAGGGGAAGCGTCTCCCAGGCATGGCTGGGCAGTACCTGTTTAAGTGTTTGATCAATGTTAAGAAGGAGGTGGACGATGCCTTAGTTGAAATGCATTGGGTTGAGGGCCAGAACAGGGATTTGATGAACCAGCTTTGCACCTACATACGTAACCAAATTTTTCGGCTTGTTGCTAGTTAACTGGAAACATCTTGCACAGCTGGAGGCATGTTTATAGGAGCTGGCTTTGGAGTGGCTGTGGGGTGGCAGGAGGAATCCCATCAGTGGTCCATCTGTAGCATTACGGGCCACTGACACGAATTATCTTCAGAAACTAGAACCTGTGAATCTATCCCACCTCCCCCCACCGCCTTGCTGCTGTTCTTTTTAAGTTACAGGAGTTGTAGTATGGTCGTTTACAAGGAGGAATTGTGGTTGTAACAACCGAAGGCCCTCGGTACACTCCCGAAGCTTTGAAAGCTGGCTAGAGCTGGGCCCCTCAGCTGTGGACTGCTTCTTCACGGCCAGAAGTGCTGTTTGTGGAGTGTGGGCCGGGCAGCACTGCCTAGTATGCCATGCTCTGTCACCCAAGGGTGTTCCTTGAGGAGCGGAGTTCTCTCTGCCTCCAGTCAGAGGCCCTGGTACCCTCTTCTAGGTCACTCTTCAAGATGGAACCTACCTTGCATCAGTCCACGAAGGGAGCCAGCCCCATGGCGGGTGGTGGGGAGTCAGGGAAAGAAACCTTATCAAAGCAGGAAGAAGGACCAGTCTGGGGAGCACCTGATAGATGGCACATTTCTGACACATGGCTGTTTTGTTTTGCTTACTTCGGAGGCAGAATTAGGTAAGCCAGACTCCCGAGTGTGACTGAGGCACACAGAATGCACCCATGCCTCCCCCTCCAGCCTGTTCAGAGTACCGTTTCATAGCAGTTTTACAACTGCATGAGTTTTGTTTGGACATTTGAAGTAAAGCTTGTTTTGTTTTTACTATAAGAACATTCACAAATTAAAAACCAGTGGTCTGTTTGAATCCTGGCTAAGTAAGCAATTGATGACAGAAATGAGAAATGGAACAAAATAGTATGTGCTGTAGGTAGCTGCAGAAAGGCTCAGATATTTGTTTGCTGATCAGATACTGTTTTTTGTGGCTTCACTTATAATCCCCTCTGTGCTTGCCTGCTCACATTGCAGAGTTCTGAGCCCAGGGTAACTGTGTGCTTAAAACATGTTTCTAATACGAATGCCAGGGTCCTGCAGAAATACCCGTGGAAAAGGGGGCAGCCTTTTGCTGTGCATGACTTTAACAGCTTGATGATGCATCAGCAACCCAGAGTTCTATTTAGACTAAAATCTTTGCCGGAGCTCCTTGCTATCTGCTAAGAAGACTGGGGCTGAGTAGCTAAGCCACCCTTCTGAGAGGTGGCTGTTGGTGAGGACAGAAAGCTGATGACCTTGGCATATCTTGGCAGCAGCTAGACCAGGCCCTCAGCAAAGACACAGGAAATGGAATGACTGTGCTGTAGTGTGGCTGTGGAGCTGGGGCTAGAGAAGACAGCACAGTGACCAGTGGTGTTTTTGTTGGTTGGTTTGTTTGTCTGGAGATGGCATTTCACTCTTGTTGCCCAGGCTGGAGTGCATGGTGCAATCTCGACTTGACTCGATTCAGCCTTCACCTCCCAGGGTCAAGTGATTCTCCTACCTCAACCTCCTAAGTAGCTAGGATTGCAGGCATCTGCCACCATGCCCGGCTAATTTTGTGTTTTTAGTAGGGATGGGATTTCACCATGTTGCCCAGGCTAGTCTCTAACTCCTGACCTCAGGTGATCCACCCACCTTGGCCTCCCAAAGTGCTGGGATTACAGATGTGAGCCACTGCGCCTGGCCACTGACCAGTGTTCTTAACTTGGTCCGTGAACCTCCAGAGAGTCCATACACCTTCTAGAGTTACTTCTAGAAGCTCTGTGAGCGTGTTTTTGTTTGTTTTCTGGAGAGAGGGTCCCCAGAACCCTCAGACATAGACAGTGGCGTCAGTAATCCACTAAGGATTAAGAAGCATTATTCTAGTCTAACCACTCATATGTCAGGCTGTGAAAACCAGTACGTAGGGTCTTACAGAGGCAAGCCTCCATTCAGGACCTCAAACTACCCTGGTCTAGTAATTATGCCCTAGCCCACACCAGCCCACTGTACTTACCTCAAATGAACATCACATTTGAGTCATTTGCTGGATGCAAACCTAGTTTTCTTGGTATAACTTTAGGATAATTGGTTGAGTGGCAACCATGCATTCAGTAAGAAGTAAGTAGTTACTTGCTTTTTTCATTACGAAAGAGTGGTACGTGCTCATGAAAGACTGGGAAAATGAAAGTCAAAACAACAAAGTACCCCGAGTTGGCCTTCTGAAAACAGAACCGCTATTGGGATTGGCGTGTTTCTTTCCAGTCTCTCTGTAGATGGGGTGTGAGTGTGGGTTCACTTGGGTTGTACTCATGCTGCATATTCAGGTTTGTATTTTGGTCTTGTTTTCACTGAATGTCTTAGAAGTATGTTTCCATGCTGTAACAGTATTGTGTTTACCTAACCGCCTTGCCTGTTCCCATGTCTTTCAGGCACAGGACTGGCCTTTGCTTAAGTCTCTTTCTTAGAGGTTTCCAGAAAATACTCCGTATAACTGAGGCACAGAAGGTTTTTCTGTGTCTGTATGTGTTTCTGTCCCTAGGTTTAGGGCTTGGTGTCCTGGATGAGATTTTATGTGTAAAGCTAATGACTTGAGGGTTTTAAAAATTCGTGATAGTGGACAGGTGTGGTGGCTCACATCTGTGATCCCAGCACTTTGGGAGGCCAAGGTGGGTGCATCACTTGAGACGGTCAGGAGTTTGAGACCAACTTGGCCACCATGGTGAAACCCTATTTCTACTAAAAAGACAAAAATTGGCCGGGCGCGGTGGCTCAAGCCTGTAATCCCAGCACTTTGGGAGGCCGAGGCGGGTGGATCACGAGGTCAAGAGATCGAGACCATCCTGGTCAACATAGTGAAACCCCGTCTCTACTAAAAATACAAAAAATTAGCTGGGCATGGTGGCACGTGCCTGTAATCCCAGCTACTCAGGAGGCTGAGGCAGGAGAATTGCCTGAACCCAGGGGGTGGAGGTTGCGGTGAGCCGAGATCGCGCCATTGCACTCCAGCCTGGGTAACAGGAGCGAAACTCCGCCTCAAAAAAAAAAAAAAAAAAAGACAAAAATTATCTGGGCATCATGACAGGCGCCTGTAATCCCAGCTACTCGGGAGGCAGAGGCAGGAGAATCACTTGAACCCGGGAGGTGGAGGTGCAGTGAGCCGAGATTGTGCTGCTGACTGCACTCCAGGCTGAGTGACAGAGGGAGACTCTGTCTCAAAACAAAAACCAAAAAACAAAAAAAACACCCACCACGTGACAAGGCTGGCTTTCACAGTCTGCAGCTGAGTGGCTTTGCATTTGGATGCCTCCATTTCCTTCTCTGAGAAGATTAACTTCTTAGACTACCTAGTGAGAACGTTGAAAATGTTTTTAAAGGACATCTACACGTTGTCGTGGCCATGCCTCTGCTTTATGATTGTGTGTGCTGCGTCATGGCATCTACCTCTCTCTAGGTGGGAACATTGTTTTCTTCTTTGAAGAAATAGGCCATTGACTCATGATCTTGAGTGTTACTCTCCTTAATTGTCCAGAGGCCAAGTTCATGTTGATGGATTGGTTTGAAATGAAGTCTTTGTGGTATGATCCTAAATTCTTTTCTGGTCCCTAGAATCAGCTCTGGTCTCTTGATAACCAAAGTGGAGACAGAAGCTGAGCCTGTTTTCGAGGCAAACTAAAACCGCTTTTGTTCTTCCGCATCAGCTTTGCCTCTGTCAGCTTGGTTCCTTCCCCGCACGCCCTGGCCTCACTGTTCCCACCCCAGACCTTTGCTGTGCATCCTGGCAGGGCTGAGGCTCTGCCGCGGCCTTTACGCTAACTCATCTTAAGGTTCGTGTAGATTAGTATGTATTTTTTATACAACATAAAGCCTTTCCTCTCAGCGGAAATCAAAGCTTACCATGTGAGCTCTCGAACTTCTAAGTTCTGACAGGAATAACAAAACTGCCAGGAGTGGAAAAGCTGCAAAAAAAAAGCCTGTGGAAAATCCAAGGCCTTTTTAAAGAAGGGAGCTGATGACTTCACGGCCAGCTGGAGCCCCTCCTTCCCGCCGGAGCCGCGGCGTTTCCCTCCGTTGCCACACGGGGGCAGTCTCGGCCCTTTTATCAAACGCCTTCACTTCCCTGTGGGAATGGAGACAATTGTATCCTCGGTGTTTTCTTGAAATACCAGTTCCTACCCAGATTTGTATTTTTATGTAAACAAATACATTTTCACATAAATAAAATTTGAAAAATAAAAGCAGAAAGAGGAAAAAAAACACTAGCCATGGTCTCTTTACCCGGTGTAATCCCTTTCCACCTTTTAATGTTTCTTTAATGGTCCCAGCTGACTGTTTTCCTGTTCTTCCCCACCACTCTACTCTAGAATAGATCCAGGTCGAGCCAGTCCTGTGGATCAACTTTTTCTTGACATATCTAGTTAATGAAGATACTGGAGGGGACATGTTTACGGATCTTAAAACAGAAACTTTCCAAAAGCCTTATGTTCCAGAGGAGTAATGTCAAGATCTCCAAGAAAGCAGGTGTTCCGTGTTCTTTTGTTGACTCTTGTGTGGGGTGTCTCCGGTTGGCTGGCTAACGGGCGTGTCATGTGCTTCTTATATCAGAAGTGGAGGGTTCTGTGTGGTGTCTATGATGCAGGTTAGCCAGGCCTTGCTTCTCACCAGGGCGTTTCTAGGTAGAACATGGGTCTTACTAACCCTGGGGTCTGTGTGCACTCAGGGTAAATCCCATCTCCCCTTACGTTTCTGGTACAAGATCAGATGTTGCAGCCACCCAGCAGTTGTGCCCATTAGGAGGAGGAGGAAGGTCCAGGTGGGAAAATAAGTCAGGAGTCCCTGGAAGAAGGAGCATATCAGAGGTGCAGCAGCTTTCCAGCCGTCGAGGGCTGGCCTCAGGCAAGGGTCACCGCCACATGCTTTTTAGGGAAGTTGACGAGCAGGAGACTTGGTTTGAATGGGCACTGACCTTGGTAAACCCGGAAGAGGCTGAAGAGAATGAGTTGGCTTCTGCCTCCTGCAGGCAGCATTGAGCGTGCTGAACTTTCCTGTAACCCAGAGTACGCAGCCCTAGGTGTGAGTGCAGCGCAGCATCAGAGGCCCACCGACGACGGGCACATTCCTGCTCTGTCCGGGAAGACATTCACATCCTCTGCGGTGACTCAGCCAAATGACTAAAACAGCGGTTGATGTTTGCAGTTGCCAGTGTGGCCGGTTGGAGGCTGTGCTTTGCACTCCAGGGACTCTTGTAACAAGGAACATCCTTGCCCCCTCCAGATGGCCTTTGAGGTGCAGCCTGTCTGCCAGTCTCCGTCCAAGCAGAAGTGTGGGTTTCCTTAGGGAAGTGGAAGATGGGGGGTGCTTCCCTCACAAGGGAACTGAGAGGAGAAGGGGTCGAGGAAAAG